GTCTCAAAGCAGGTGTAGAAGGTGTTGAGGTCATCCGGCAGGCTGTCTGTGGAGCTGATGATGCTGGTGGTGGTCCTGTAGTCTGTGATGTGCTGCAGGCCTTGCCACATCTGTCCGGAGTCAGCAGTAAAATAGAAGTCATTCAGCTTCTCTCTGTTCTGCCTCTTGGCCGCTGTGATGGCTTTCCTCAGTCTGTACTTCACAGCTTTGGACTCCATCTCATCGCCTGATCTGAAGTAGAAAGCAGTTGTAATATACTCTTTATTATTACTTATGTCTTATTAGCAGTTGTACACACAGTACTGTCCAACATCTATTTGTGAACAGGTTGCTACAGTGTTTGTATGTACAAAATACCACATGTGTAATGTGTTGTTATATACTGGTATTGCTAACAATGGCTAATATGGCTCTACTGGTAATATGGTTAACTGAAAATGGAATCCAGTTTACTCGGCTGTGATGTCATTCCCAGCGCCAACTTCCAAGCTACAAGGTAAATGGAATGCAGCTTTAGATGTCAAAACATGTGACCTTTGCCATTTACCATTTTGAAGAGGAAGGTGGATGGTAGATAAAGATATACGTCAAGGTCACATCAGAATAACATCCGTTAGGTCCATATATAAAGGAGGCAATCTGCATGTATCTTTGTCAGCTTGGACAATCATAATTTAAGCAAAGATAATGTGACTGTAATTCGTTTCCCGTTCCATCTTTTCCATTTCATTCTGGTCTGGAAGCCTTCACAGCTTAAATATAGCCAGCCCACCCACTTGGAGGTCAGACAAACCCAATCACAGAGCTTCAAAGACAGCATCAAATTTGAATGTTAACAGTGCACATGTTCACATTTTTTAGTTGTAAATTGATCCATTCAGTTCACTGTCGATGGGTGAAAGATGAGTGCATTCAATGGTCCACTTGATTTTCTCTGTGACCATCCAAAATATGATTTCTGTTTATGCTGCCACGTCCTACAGTAGGTATTTGTTTGAGACAGACATCAGTCATAATTGGCAGCTCTCTCTTTTACTCAGTATGGTCTTTTAATGCATGCAACTTAGTGACCACACCATTGTCTCTGTTCTCATTGGTCCTCTGATATCAAAAGTGACACATAATGGCTGTTCTGGTAGTGTGGTCAGATTTCACTGGACTGTCCATCACAGTAAATTTAAGAAAATGTTTTGCAGTGGTTCATGTGGAGATGCAACAACTCATCTAAACATACTAATAGTTCTCACATCAAACTGACTCATATGTGTTGGCCTCAATCAGTTCCTCCGGAGTTAAAGTATAATTTTGTTTCATTACAAAATGTGAACTTGTTGTTTCTGACAACTTTAAAATACTGTACTCACCCTAGGTGTTACGGTCTGTCTGATGATAAGACTGCACTCATGATTCTTGTACTGCAACTTTGCACCATGTCACCAGGTTCCTAGATTGCACCAATTAACTTGGTGAGTATAGTGTTAACATAACTGATAGAAATGATGGCAAAATCTGAGACCCAAGTTGTAATAAATTCAAATTACTCATAAAATTTTCAAAACAAATCTTGTTTCAAAACTATACCCATGCAATAACCAAAACTCATAGAATTTCTTTTTAAAATTAGTGAAAGTATATTTTAAAGACATTAATAAGAAAATGTTTAAAATAAAATAAGATAAAATAACTAAAAAAATTAAAAGCCAAATATTTAAGCTTATGTTTAAAGACGTCTTTGCAGCTCTGTATGTATTAGAAGCTCATCCTGTGGTGGGTAGCATGCTTGCTTCTCTGCCCTGTGTCACCACCCTCATTAAAGTGGCACAGTGCAGCCCCCCTCAGACAATAAAGCCTGCCCTAACACACACGCCACCTATAAATCACCTCATGAAAATCAATGGGCTTTAGTTAGCCTGGGACTCATTGTGTCCTTGGAAAGGTGTGAGATGAATTGAGATGAAGTGGGAACAAAACAGGAACAACATCCACCAAAAGGCACAGAATAGCATATTGCTTTGCTGACCTTTAGGGTGGAGGTGCTGGTCAGTGATACATCATGGACTCATCTTTAGTTTTCTAAAGCACACCAATAGTCATTTTGTATCATGATACATTTTGTGGTAGTGTTGCTTTTCCAGCCTTTCTAAAAGAATGACAAAAAAAAAAATGAAAGACAACATGCTGCCATTACTTCAGATCCTCTAGATAGATGGAGGTCTAAAATTAAAGCTACCATACCGAATAATTTCTTTCAGAAAATTTTGGAAATCCTTTCCTCTACTTTGGCACAACCTTTCTGCTCCCACTAAACTGAAATAATTAGCCTCATTCCCCATATCCAAAAAGCACACAAAGTGATACAACACATGTTAATTGTCACAGTGGTGCTCTCAATTGTATTTTAATTCAAGATGCACCTAGAAAATTACAAATAAGTGTATACCTCCTCTAAGGATAAGAAGCCGGAACAGCTGTAGGTGGATCTAAAATGAAAGTGTTATTTAAGGTCTTTTGCTCAACAATAAACAAATCAAAAGATTCCTAAGGGATTTAGGACCAAATGTGACCATGAACCTTTTGAATTCAATCTGGACATTTATGGTTACGGTCAGTGGAGCATGTCAGTTTTCCTCCTATATCCACTCATGAGCCAAAACATTATGACTACTCCAGCTTGATATATGATACCAGAACAGCTCCAGCCCACCCAGGCATTTCTGCTGCATCTGACACTACAACTGGCTGTCTGATATGTATATCCCAAAACTTGTCATGTGAGGGTGTGAATGGTTTGGCTCATTTGTGTATTCTACTTCGAGCCCATCATGCTCAAAAGCTATTTTGCCTACTGAATTTAAGATGAGTTAGTCTGGGGATATTTGTGCAGTTATAGTCTGGATTCCTGTCAGGACTTCTGGTTCTGAGGACATTGGCGGCTGTAATAGAGGTTAGAGCTGCTGCTGCTTAATGGATGGGCCCTTTAGTATGTGCTGCTCAGATATAAAGGGGCATTTTAACACACAAGAATTAGTCAAGAATACAGTTTGCTATTTGATATGTTTTTTCAAAATGTGATTCTTAATCTTTAGGAACCATTTTGTACTCACAGGGGATTACAAACCCTTATTTACAGACATCTGAGCTGATTGAACTATGCGAAGTGTGACAAAGTCAAAACAAAAACACTACTATTCAAAATGATAATGAAAAGTAATAACACTAAGTTTTGGTCAAAACACAACAATATCTGTAACACAGACCCAGCTTACAATTTTTAATGAATACAAAAGCAGATTGTGATAGTTTTATTTAAAATGTTCAATGAAGAGAATACTGTGAACTTTCAATTAATTCTGGCCTGTGATAAAAGCACAGTGAATTTAAATATGGATGGTATTCATTTATTTTTGCAACTGGCTGAAATGTGACAGACACTTTGTGACCTTAGAATTGATCTGATGTTTGTGTCAAAAAGGTATTTCACACAGAAGTGTTCTTTATTTTTAGCATATTGCAGTAGTAAGCTCCTCGCTCAACTGGAATGAGTTCCGGGCCCCAGCAAATATCCTGTTAGGGGTAACGTTTGACTGTGACCTAAGATTCAACAAGCAGATCAACTCAGTTGTAAAATCAAGTTTCTTTTACCTGAGGTTGCTAAGTAAAGTCAAGTCATTTCTTTCTTTTAGTGACTTTGAGAATGCAAGCCATGCTTTTATAACCTCTAGACTTGACTATTGTAACGCATTATACCTTGGTGTTAATCAGTTGTCTCTCTCTCTCGTCTTCAAATGGTCCAAAATGCTGCTGCTCATCTTTTAACAGGTACTAGGAAATTCGACCATATAACTCCGGTACTGGCCTCTCTTCACTGGCTTCCAGTCCATTTTAGAATTCATTTTAAGCTATTGATTTTTGTTTTTAAGGCTCTTAATGGTTTGGCACCCCCCTACCTCGCTGAGTTGGTGAGGTGGCACGAACCAACTAGATTACTCAGATCCTCAAGCCAGTTTTGTTAGAGGTGCCCAGGGCCAGATACAAATGCTGGTGTAACCGTGCTTTTATTGTTGCAGCTCCTAAATTGTGGAATGGTTTACCTTTTAATGTTAGATCCTCTACAGACTTGACAACTTTTAAATCATTGGTTAAAACATATTTATTCACTTTGGCTTTTAATACGTAGTATTGTCTGATGCTTCCTCCTTTTATCTGTTGATTCTGTGTACTTGGTGTTTTTATGTTCCTATGTTGTTTTATTTCTGTATTGGTATTTTTTACTCTAGATTTGCATTGCTGTGTAAAGTATTTTGGTCGACCAGACGTTATTTTTAAAATGCTATACAAATAAATTTTGATTGACTGATTGATTGTTACCTGTACTGATGCAACAGTCTTTCTATTCTTTTCCTAATAGAATGTTCACTTTACACATTTACAAAGACTTTAGGATGCCGGGTATTTTGACAAATAAAGAAAAGTTGTTTTCTGTATATGAGTTCTGTTATTTAAGATGTGAAATTTTTAAAGCATAGAGACAGAAGCATAATTCCAAAGTCACAACTTGGTAAAACTGTGAAATATAACCAACATTAAAGGTTCAGTGAACTCCAAACTGTATCAGACTTGGCTTTTTTTCTCTCTCTGCTTTTTCGAATGCAAACAAAAGAAATAAATATGTGAATGCCAAAGAATTTGTCACTGCAACAATTTTCTGGGAGAAGTGGTGCCTTATCTGACAGAAACCGAGGGGTGCCAATATTTCTGACCATGACATTAGGACCAACACTTAGACTCAAACAGTAGAGCTGGGTAAAAAATACCATCCATCTGGGCTCCCATACAGTGAATACAGTCCAAACAATATTTCACACTACACATTTGGAAACAAGCTTCGTATATATGCATGTAATGCAAAATGTTTCAATAAAAAGTGAGTGGGTGAAAAAGGCACATGCAGTGTGAGCGTTCATCTCTGTTCTCTGTCTTTCTTTTCACTTGTTCTTGGCGGCCAGTGGTTTGCGGCTTATCTTCTTGCTTTTATCGCCGCTCTTCTTCGGAGGTTCTGGGTTGGCCTGTATGTGTCTGCCGTAGAGACTGAGGAGGACAGGAGAAAGGAGAAGAAGAGAGGGGACATGTTAAGCAGAGGAGAGATTTCTTTCTCTCTGTTAATGTATCCATCAATCTAATAAAATGTACACTGAATGAATGCTTATGTATTTACTTGTGGTAAGGCAGGGGTTCTGAAACATTTCAGACCACATACTACTTCTCACTGCAGATACCAACAAGAGCCACTTTACCTGTGCAAGTCCACCCCTGACTACTACTGCTACGTACTACTACTTCTGTCTGTTTGCTTATTGATCTCCTCTGCTCCATTTATGCATAGTATGGAGAGCACAGCATCTACTCGTGCACTCAATGCACACAACATGCAGTGCTGAATGAACTGAGTCAAGCTAATGTCACTAGCCATGCATCTTGACCATATTGTCATATCACCCTACGTGACTATGAGCAAATTTTATTCCTAAAATATTCAAATGATTAACTCATTTTTACATCATTGAAAAGTGATGCATATATGTAATAACTGTTGTTTGAAATACATTTAAATGATAGTTGTTTTTTTGCCTGAAATTAAGGACCAGTTGAAGTGCAAAGGTTAGGCCTTTCAGCAAAGCTCTGGCGTACCACCAGGGGTACACATGCCACGGTTTGGTAATCACTGTGGTAAGGCACAGGCAGAAGATAAGCATTAAAACTGAAATTGCTGCTTTGTATCTGACTTGACTGTCCTCACTGGTGCCTGTCACCCATTCAGGTACCACATGCATACCCAGGCAGAGTCAAAGACTTAACTCTTCTACTGCAAGTAGAGCCCTGTCTCGGTGTGGTTAACAGGTTTGCTGGCACAAAACCACTATGATCCTCACCAACATGATAGTGTCTGACAGTTTAACTGGAACAAATACAGAGACATCAAATATTCACATACTGTATAACCAACTGGGAGCACACTCTCCGTTACAGAGCCTCGGTCAGTAATGGTGGTCAACATTCACTATGGTACACTTATTAGTGTTGATTACTGTTGAGGAGTGAACAAGAAGAAGAGTGTCCTCAGTCTACCCCCCCACCCCATCTCTGTCTGTCTCCACTGCTCCTCTCCCATGGGTGTCTTGCTTGCATAGAAGTGAGAGAGCTTATTCGAGTGGAAAAGACCTTTTCTTCAGCCCAGTCTCTCTGTTCTCCTCCCTGCAGCATCCTTTACACATAATTGTCGCTTTATTTTTTCCTTCCTACTGTACTTGATGTTGAGTCTGGGTTTAAGACATGCTTACCAAAAACAAGGATATGTTGGAGCATGATCAGGATCCACCAATGCGATCAGTCAGCAAGAAGCAAGAAGACAGTAATAGTATATGTAAAGATCACTGGTGATAGGCTTACGGTGCTAAATTTTGTTCATCTGCCATTTTACATGATGACGGTTGTTGCTGGGGCTCACTGATGGTTGAGGCGTCAGATAACTGCAATGCCCACGGTTTGACTTATTTCACACTGTCGGCCATTTATGAAGCTTCTGATCAAGCCAAACTGGAAAGAATGTATCGTAACAAAACAGATTTTGAGGGAATTGTGTGAGCTGACCAATACAAAAATGATATTATTATTATTCTTATAAGCACGTGCCTTACATTTTAGTTAAATCTGCACATGCATGGCACTTTTAGGCCTCAGTGGTATGCAAACACAGTCCTACACATATGGCCTATAAACACGAATGTGAACTATCATTAAAAAAAGATTGGATCTGACAAAAAGTCAAAATTGAGCATTACAGTAAGGCCTGTGATGTGAACATAGCCTCAAGAAGTGCACGACATCCCTTTTAGAACCTGTAATTATAGATTATATATATATATACACACATACATACAAATATACACACATACTGTACATCATACATACTGACGATGTGTGTACTAGAGAATCCAGAGTGGTGAAAACCTGTCAGTCTATGATTGAAGTGACATGTATTCTCCTGTCTTCTTTCTGCCTCCATCCCATGTCAACACTCTCAACTGGGAATTAAATGCTGTCAAACCCCCAGTATATGCCACCCATCAAAACCACAGCAGGCCTACGGGAAGGAGACAGATAGAAGAAACACACGGACAGAAACACAGCCAGTGGAGGAAATGGTGTCCTGCAGGAGGCAACTCTGCTCTATTTTAACTTGAGTGCTTGCTTTACACATACTGTAGATGGCTTCTTGTCTTGCTCACATGCAGTGAGACTGATCACCTTTGAAAAGCTTGCCTCAGCCACTCTCCAACTTTGTGTGTTACATTACTGTCAAACATCTCGGTTTATTTATGTGATATTGTTGTAGACAAAATCAGTCGTTTTTGCTTGGTGCAATACAAACAACCTTCCCTCACCTTTACAAGATGGATAATTAATTTCATCATAACATTACTAGTAATGTAAATTAGAGGATTTCCCCTGAATTTATTTTTTAATTTATTTAATAGCACAATAACATAGTTTCAGTGGGGATAACAAAAGTTTATAGCCTGATTTGCACAGAAATGTTGAGACTAACACTTATATGAGAGTAAAAAAAGGGCCTGATAATTTTTAAAAATGTTGCCCTAAAGACTCTGAACAACCATAATCTTTTACAGTATCTTAAGCGAGTAAGAGTCAAGGGCTCATGCATGAGATCTCTGGATATTCTTAACAAACATTACGGTCTGGTGTCTGGTGCAGTGGTGTGTTTCCCTGATGTCTTTTTAATTGGTTTTTAATTGGTTTTTGAACAAGAGTGGAGGTCTGTGGCACAAACGAATAAGCTAATCCTGGACAGACAGGCATTAATCATGAATAGAGGCAATTCATTGCTGATTTTAGTCTGTGTATGGGGACTGTTGAAAATACAGTTAATATAGAAGATGACCAGCCTTATTCTTTAAAGTCACTCATTAGGACAAATTAATTAGACTGACAACCAGAATAGGACACGGCCCTGGTTCTGCTGGTGGTGGCAAATCATACAGAATCTTTCCTCTACATATAGCTGGGTAAGACTAACACACCACTGCGTATCCTTCACGGCTCTTCATCTCCAAATCTCATTCATGGATCTTGTTTTTCCATCTTTTCCACCCTCCCCCCCCCCCCCCCCCCCCATTTTACCATTTGTTTGGCTCCCTCATTCTTGGCTCTTTCTCCTCTGTTGTTTGCAAATGAATCCCTGCGAACAAGATTGTGCTCTTTAACTCCCTTCCTCTTGTCAGTTACGTGCATGATGTCATGACGCTAACGATAATGCTGCAATCTAATTGGCTGTTCAGTAAGAAATCTTGCTCAGTCAACAACACTGTGTGACTTTATGCCAGAAACAGACGTGGTTCTGAGACATCTATTTTCAGTACAAACACATTTTGTCTTTCCGCTGCGTTATCTAAATGAACATTTCAACTATTTGTTCATCTCTCACCACTTGTACACTGTGTGCTCTGTGCTGGGCAGCAAAGCACCACGCATTCAATCAATCCTATTGATTAGGATTTTTTTCACATTAAACCAAACAAAGGAAAGATGAAATGAAATATAAATCCAGGGGGAGAAAAAAAAAAATCAAAGATTCCATGGTTGTTGTGCTACTGTAATAAGCCTTAAACCGCTATTCCTCCCTGCTGCATCCTGCCTGGTCATTTACTGTGTTGTAATGCAGTCAAATTCATGATATAGCTGCTCTCATTTACATATTTTTCTGTTTCTTTTGGCAGGCATTTCAATGAAGAAGAAATAGCCTAATTAATTAATTGCAGCTCATATGTCAAAATGTCATTCTCTGCTACACCACAGAACTGTTAAACCTCAGTTCTGTCCATCTCTGTGGTCAGCTGCAGTATTTAAATGCAGCCCAATTGATAATAGTTTGTCTCATTTGTATGTTTTTGTATGTTTCAGGTGTCACATTGAAGCAGATAACACATGCATAGGAATAAATTTTGTCTCTGTTCTGTTGTTAAACAGAAGCAAGATCTATAGGCTATTACAATATAAGACCATAGCACTGTCTAAGAAAGTCAACATCAAAACAGGTTTACGACAGCTACCTGTGTGTGTTGTGTGCTGCCAGAACGCGGATGACCTGCACTGAATATTGTGCATTAGTGCATCCCGAGTAGACACAGATGGAGCACCAATGCTGCTGCTACTCTGTAGACATGGTGTTAGTCTTGTTAACACTCTATCTGTCAGCACTGACACTCAACCCACTGACTGATGAAGCAAAGAAATCCCAGAGATACTACAACAGACCGATCCTCAGTTGGGTTCCTTTACCATGCATCCTATCACTTCTCAAGGATTATCAAGAAATCCAACACCTAAACTGTTCAAATGTAAGACAACAACCAGCCGTAACATGAAAATTATGAGGAAAATGAAGTCAAATGGCTTATTAAAAATTTAGATCCAAAACAAAATTGCATATTTTTTTTTTTTTCAGTGCTTTTCTATGAAAATGTCCAGATTCTACTTTGCTGTAACTGCTTCATAAAAAGCCACCAATCAGAACAACAACACTGAGTTGTGTTGAATTTATTATTGCTTGAATTCTTATGAAAAAAATTTCTGTTTAAACCACAGCTACATAATATTTCTTGTTCTTTTTGTTATTTAAAATGTGGTTAATTTATGCTGAGCTGTATGGTGTTTTGGAGACAAATTTCAAACTTACTACATGTGTAGCTTAGCTTCTGTCCTCTGAATAAAAGCTTCAAGTTTGGCTTTACATTGGAGAAATAACTAGAAGTATGAAGTGATCACTTTAGAATTTTACCTATACTCTGTGCCAAATTATGTGGTTATTTATTTTAACATTTTAGGAGATTATGCGGAAATAAACAAGAATTTACAGACCTGTAAAATAAAGTGTTACCCTGCATTTATTTAATTATACACAGTACATATTTCTTTCTGGAGTTACATGCCTATAACACTGTTTTCCTTTTTAATGCAGTATGTTTTTATGTTGAGTGGTTTTGTGTATGATCTGTAAATATTGTTTGACT